AGGAATGGAAGGAACAGGGGAAATCATTGCTGTTTGGAAGCAGTTGCAGGGTTACAAGCATATATTTGGATATAGAGTTAAATTTATAAGATGGAAAACACTGTTCAGTAATTTGTTACCATCAAACACACTGCCAAAATTTATTGCATTTAAACATTAAACATCCTTGGAAAATATGTTGGATGCATTTATAGGAATTAGCTTGCTCCAATACTGTAGATGAAACCTTTTCAGCTGCTCATTTCAAGTGAGAAACATTTGTTTTAAAAAGTATTCCAATTCTTCCAGATTTAATTTTTTCATAGGAGCCTTTTTTTACAGGGTGCCCCCAAATTTCTAATTTTTCTCTTGGAACAATGGAAACAACAGCTAGCAGGGTGTGTGCTCCAACCCTTCCCCCCTTTTTGTGGGCCTTTACATCTCTATTTAAGATTGTCCTCCACATGTTTCAGCCCTATTTCTGTAGGGCTAACAGAAGCTTCCCCCATAATTTAATGTTTAGAGTAGCCCTGTATGCCCATCCCCATTGGCCATGCCACACTTTCTCTGTGGGGGTATTTGACTATCATGATTTTCACTAGGATTACTCTGAAACAAATACCATTTATTTTTAATCAATTATTATGACAGAAAACAAACTTCTCATTCTTAATAAGGAAATGCCAAAATTATAAATTTTCTTTTACTGGCTCTGGTGATACTTTGTCACACAATATTATGGCCTATTTTACTTGTAGATCACAATATTTATTTTTGTATGATAAGATGGATAATGGATTGTAAAATGTTCCTTTCTTAATAGTAGCATCACCTGTAGTTGCTTTAGTCCTGTGACGGGTAAAATTTATTTTGTGATAAATGACCTTCAGTATTTTTGTTTTTTAACAGTGGTACAAAATAAAATAGAATAAATTCATTGGTAAGATTAAGGTAAACTCAGATATGTGTCATTGGCTGATTGCCACGTGAAAAGCTTGGTGGAACTTTATATGACGTAAAGGCATGTAATCATACTTTATAATGATTTTATGAGTTGTTTTTGGCCAACATCATAATGATTTTTATCAGTGTTCTGGGCTACCCTCAGTCAGTGAGGAACTTGGCACTTTATCAAGTTACAACACAGATTCATGCATATGTGTGAGTGTGAGTCAAAGAGAAAGGAAGACAAGAACTTATGTGATGAAAAGTATTCTAATAATGAAGACACTGTTGCTAATGCCAAATCTCTGTCTTAAACATATCTTCCATCCTCTTGCTGCACACAATGATATCCTAAAACTTTTAAATCAATCCGACCACTTCATGTGGCATCATGGGCAGTCCCACTAATTAACATGCTGGAAGTAAAAGCTTTGTGTCGTTCTTTCTGTGAGTGGGCAAATATTCAGTGTTTCTATTTGCATTGAGATTTCAGTTCTCTGCTTTTCAGTGTTGGTTTTGTAGATTTGTTTGTACTGAATGTGTGCTGTATGATTTATACACATAGTTCTGACCTGGTGATGTCAAAAAATGCATACACTTTTTTTTTGGGGGGGGGGAATTGGTATGAGAAAACAAAAGTGCAAAAATAAAGAATCATGGGTTCAATTTCCACAGTTTAATGCTGTACATCCAATACACAGGATACATCAGTATCTTGAATACAGCCCTTCCTTTCCTCCTCCTCCTGGGAGACTGGGAGAAAAGGGACATATTACCTGGCAACTTAACCATCAACCCACTTCATTCTCCATATATAAATGGCTAAAAAACATGGGTTGGAGTCAAAGTACTGCCAATAGAATGAAACTTGTGAAACAGAATTTCCTCCCCCCCCCGGCTACAGTTTACTGAGCCCCCTGAAATTCTGCTCCTGTAGGACAAGGGACCCAGGAACAATGTGAGGGAGAAAGGGAGGGTCTGCAGCAGGAGGAGGGGAAATGGGGAAAAGCCACCAACCTAGCATCTCAACGCTATGACTGTGATGGATACTGGAGTTCATATTTCACTGTCATTAATTGTTGGTCAACTGGTGCTGTCCTGAGAATAGAGTGAAATGTGATTATCTGTGGTAACGTTGCAGTGGTGTCATTACGAAGTCATCACGGGGATGCTGATCCCCATGCAGTGGTTGTTAATGTGTAGACCAGCCCTAAGAAAATGTGTCTGTTCTTTCCAAGGAGATGCATGTTGCGCTGTGAATTCTCCGTAATGCTGCTGGGTTTGTTGTCGTTTGCATGATCTGGTTATAGTTAACATCCCTGAACTCCCTCATATGCCAGCTTCATTCAATGTGCTTCTTTACAAGCAAGAGAGCTTGAATTGTTCTGCTTGTGGCCATGAATGCAACATATCAGCCCGGAAAGTGGTGTAATGCTTTGTAAGAGTTGAACTGTAACAGGTTTCTAAAAGTAAACCTTAATTTGAAAATGATTTTGCTCCCCATTTCATTCCTTAAATGGATATGCAATAAAGGGTTACCCAAAACCAAATGTATGAAATTTTCCGTCTTGTTATTCTTCTAATGCTTTGTATCCTGTCAGTTGTATTCCTGTGTAAATAGTGCTCCCAATTGTTAATCTTGTACATTTTGTATATTGTATAAATAAATGATGTTTTAAACATTATATGCTTAACTACTTTCTGTTATCCAATTTACTGGGGATAGGACGAACAGTGGCTCCAGAAAACAGGACAAAGTACAACTGTGATCCACCAGGGTCTGTGACACACTTGTGCAGGAATCAGTATTTTGGGAGATCCCTTTTCTGCCCATTCTCCTTCTTTGTTTCCTTCTCTTCCCCACCGTAACCATCTTAATTTGTTGTATTCTCCCTTTTCTTGTTTTCCATGTTACTTCTGATCTGTCTCCCTTCCCTTCCCTCTGGAATACGATCTCTGCAATTTTTCATCCCATTTCCTTCTGCTTCAGTTTCTCTTCTCTAAGTCCCCCCCATCTCTTACCCACTGTTTACCTTTCTTCCTTTCCTCCACCCCTTGCTCCCTATTTCATTCGTTGGCCCACTACCTCATCTACCCTTTTCCTGGGCACCATGCATTGGATTGATACCATCTGCAACCTTAGGCCTTCTTCTTGTCCAGCACTTGGGCAGGAGCTGTGGATCGGTGGTAGAGAAACTGGATTGCATGTACAATGCCCTTGATTCAATCTGTGGCAACTCAAGTTATAGGTACTGGGGAAAATATCTTTCTCTGCTTGAGACCTTGGTAAGTAGCTGTCAGAATAAATGATAGAAAGCTTAGGTAGATTAATGGTCATAATTAAGAAGAAGAAGAGGAGGAGATTGGATTTATACCCCGCCCTTCACTACCTAAAGGAGTCTCAGAGCGGCTTACAAACTCCTTTCCCTTCCCCTCCCCACAACAGACACCCTGTGAGGTAGGTGGCCCTCAGCTCAGCAAGTGGCAGGTAACAGGACTTCATCACTGTCAGACAC